CTCACTTTTAAAAGCGTTTTCACTTCCGAGGACATTGTGGTTGTAAAGCCACATGTTAGTAGTCTGGCCCCGGTGTGATCAACCTGTTTCTGCGGGAATGTGACGGCGGAACCGGTTCGAAGCAGTGCGAGTCCCCCCCGTTTATCTAATAGCGTCGCGTTTACGATTTTATAGACTTTTTTTACGAGCTTAGGGCATGTCTAGCCTGTGTAATAATCCGGGACTTGGGTGAATCACTTTTGAAAAGTTTTTAACTTACCCGGACACAGAGCTCTCTCCTTCCTCGCTGATGATTCCGATGCTTCCGTTTAAGATGTTGCATCATCACCGTAGTACACCCGTGCCATGCTAAGTCTGACCTACAAACGTTGCAGGTAACGAATGTCTTCGCCTGATTTAACTGAAAATGCTCCCAAACTTTAGAAGTTCTTACTTTTTTGGGTATTGCTGCTTCTGCCATGTTCCTCTTCCAAACACCTGCCGGCTCTCCCTCGCGCTGATCTGACTTGCTCCGGTCGGCGGTCTGCGCGCAACGGCGGGCAGGAAGGAGGGGGCTTTTGGAAGAGTTGTGTGACACAACGAATCAATGACGCAATTCGTTGCCAACGCTTTTAGTAATCGATTTTCATCGAATTTATCGATTCGTTGTTGCAGCCCTAATTTACAAAATGAAATCTGTCAGACAGGTAGGATTTAAACCAGCCTAGCGCTGTTCCTTTGATCCCTACAACATGTTTAAGTCTTTCTAAAAGAACATTGTGATCAACTGTGTCAAAGGCAACACTGAGATCTAACAAGACTAGAACAGACACAAGATTCTTACCTGAGGCCATGAGAATATCATTTGTAACTCTCACTAACGCAGTTTGTGAGCATTTAAACACTAATGCTCTGTTTGAGGAATTTCAGTCTGGTTTTAGAGAGTATCACAGCATGAATTAATACATCTGAACTCATGCAGTAGGAACTAGGAAATATGAAATACTAGAAGCATTTTATTTTCATTTGATTAAACTGATTTTTTCCTAACGTTGTTGGAATTTTTCCCACACACAGTTAAACAAAACAATGTTGATTGAGGTGTGTGTGTGTGTGTGTGTGTGTGTGTGTGTGTGTGTGTGTGTGTGTGTGTGTGTGTGTGTGTGTGTGTGTGTGTGTGTGAGAGAGAGAGAGAGAGGGAGAGAGTTAAAATAATAATTAAAAAAAACCCGACCAGAGCGCAGGCAGTGACCGACGCATGCACGAGCCGTTTTCAGCTCTGTCTTATCAAATGCACCACGTACCTTACGAAAAAAGTAACTTTAAATATTCAACCGACAAAGAGGCGAGCTGAAGAAAACCTAGGGAGCACCGAAGAAACGTGAGCAACAGTGAAGCAAGCAAAGACATCTGTTACTGTGTGTGTGTGTGTGTGTGTGTGTGTGTGTGTGTGTGTGTGCGCGCGCGCGTGGATGGGCCGGACGGACTGAGCTCCCGGCTGCAGTTTTGTGTGTAGGGAGGGTAGGGCGCTCTATGTGACTGGCCAATCACTGAGCGTGAAGACAGTCAGTTACCCAATGAGGATTTTCCTTCAGCACAACTACAGATATTTACTAGTTTTACTCCGTACCGGATACTCGTCTGAAACGAGTATCCGGCTCATCCCTAGCTGTAACCACCCTGCCCCGCCTCCTCCTCTTTGCTGCCTGCCGGCTGTGATCATCAGCAACAACAGAGTAGTTCCCGATGCTTTTTCGGGAAACGGCGCAAAAAAAAAATTTCAATAAAACTTGGGATCTTGTAGGCATGGTGCTGGGATTTCAGTCGTGGCAGGCCGCCACAGCTACGCCTATGTAACGGAAACACTGTTCTGCCCAAGGGCACTTCAGCACAAGACCTTCTGGAGACTGGAATCAAACCACTCAACCTCTGATCAGTGGACATCCACTTTCCTCATTCAGTCTCGGTTAAATAGGATTTACCGTAAATCCTCTAATATTAGCCTGTATTTAATTAACTGCCGGGTATCATATTTTGGTCGGAGTCGGCGGAGGTGAATAATGGCCGTTTTTTTATTGTGGCCGGGTGGAATGTGGTAACAAGCAAGTACGGGGGGCGGTTGTGTCATCCATCTCACTTTTGATTTGCCAGTGATAGACCGCAAGGGTAACTTTAACCATGCGGAGACAAACAGGAGGCGAAAATTTGATATCAAGTTCAAAGAGAACGTGCTGATTATGCTGCAGAATAGAGCTGAGGAAAATAATCAAATAATCGATGCATCGGGATGCGGACATAAACGATTCTGCATCGTAGAAGAGTACGCCATAATCGATTATAGTGCAATGTAGTTTTGTTTTTTTAATGGCGGCACCAGCGCAGCATCCAAATCTGTCAGAGTGAGTGTCCTCCACATTTACCAAGTGGTTCCGCCTTAACGTGGTACTGCAGGGCTGAGCGCTTGAGTTGTAATCTGAGACCAAACTGGAACCGAATCAGCCTGACCGGTTCTGTTGGATTTGGGCCGTGAATTATGTTAATTGAGCGGGTTGTCATGCAGCGCGCTCCGCTCGCTCGATCAGCAACCGAGACAGAGAGAGAGAGACACACGAGAGGATCGGAGGACGCCCCTCCAAACCGATGCTCCAAACACGTATTATTATTTTCATAATTTAATTATTATTTCTCCTGGAAGCGCTCAGTCAGACCGAGTGTTGTAATGCTGGGAGATCCGGTCTCGGGGGAGGGGGCGGGGTCAATGACGGCAGCTGCAGTGTGATCGTCTGTCTTGTTTAGGGACACGGAGAAGTTAAAATGAGAGAGAAATAGAAGAAAGAAGTTCTTGTTCCACTTTATTATTTTGTTTCCTGATGATAAACTGATGTTAAACTCAGCTGGACAAGAAACCTGGAGGAAGCTTTGGTTCATTTTAGGTTACAGGAGATCTTGTCTCCTATCTGCTCCTCCAGAGACAGCATGGACATGAGGGTTACATGGTGAGGGTCACACAGGACAGGTTAGTGGAAAGGTTTGTAGTTAGCTGGTTAGTGAAGGAGATCCATCAGCTGGGTAGTTTAATCCTAATCCAGCCCACAGCCTTCTGCTGGTGTTATCAGGAAGAATAAAACACACATCTCAAATATTATTGGAAGTGTGGAATTTGTTTTATGTTTTATTATTTTCTGCATCAAACAGAACTTAATTCATTCTCCAACATTTCAGAAACGAACCACTGGGTTCAAATGAAATAAACTAAGTCAAACATTTCATTTGGTGTTATTTCTGACACCCTTCAACTGCGGCATAAATATCTGACTCTAGAGCTGCTCAGAGACATTAAACACTCAAATATGAACCCATTATGGATTTGATTATTACATTATGTTGTGTCCTGTGGGTTTTCAGTACTTTTTTAGATTTTGTGAGATTTTGTAAAGCATGTTTTCTCAGCCTGAGGCGTGGTGTTGAACGAGGAAACAGATGGTTTTACTTTGTTAAATCTTCTTAAATGTTTAAATGTTTTGTCCTAACCTGTTGTGAATCTTGGAGAGGGTCGCCTTTGTGGTTCTGCAGCGAGCACTACTTGGAATTGAGAGCTTTTGAGGGCTGGCAGGTTGTATCAATTACGTTTTTGATAAAATAAAAAAAAGCAATTATCTGACATCTTCTATTTATCGATGAAAACAAATCAATATGAAATAATCGTGATGCATCGGGATATCGAATCGAATTGAATCGTTGACCCAATAATCGAATCGGGAGACAAGTGAAGATTCACACCTCTACTGCAGAACAATGGGGAGCAGTAGGGGTTGTATGAACTAGTCACTAGTCGACTTCACTGCTCTATAGTGACTTTTTATGCCTGTCTTCGACTAGTCGCTGTCACGTGATAATGACCGGCAAGATGCAGTCCTCGGAAAAGACAGCAGCCTGCTGTCAGCAGGTGACAGGTGATGCGCCCCGATCCACAGCAGCGAAACGCATCAGGCACAAATAAAAGAATAAAAGACAGAAAACATAAAAGGAAATGAGCCGACATGAACGATCACGTGTTAAATTAGTTTTTGAGGTGGTGACACCTGATTTGATAATGTTACTGTGGCCGTGCTCAGGACACAGATGTCTGGAGCGCGTCAACGATCAGAGCTTTGCATGCGCAAGCTGGTTAAGGTTAGGATGAGGTGAGGGGAATGTTAAATTGCAAGAGGGTAAAGGTCACAATTTGGTTAAATGTCCGTTTTACGGCGGGTGTCAGTACCGACGCTCTGGCACAGCGCGTTGCCTCCCGTGGCCGGCAAGCAGCGCACACTCTGCTGTTTTTGCGGTCGGTAGATCTTTTAGAACTGCAGTTCAAAGGTAACTCATAAGGTGAATATATATGAACCCAGGTAGCAGTTTCTCTTTAGGATTGAGAGGAGATGCAGGAAGATAATAAACAGACAGGACAGAAAAATAGTCAAATAAAAACAAGTTAGTTTTTGTACCTGGTGGTTGCAACAAACAGACACAATTGAAGGTAATCAGAAGTGAGGAACAGAAAATGAAATAATTATTTTAATGTTTAGAGCAGCAGGAACTCTGAGAGGCTGCAGGCGCATCAGTGAGTTTGCGGCCGCTGCGCAGGGGGAGGGGGGAGAGGGCTGAAGCAGAAACTACCGTTGTTAAAAGAAATGTGTTTAACTTTGAAAATGTGGGCGCAATTTTAATTGTCAAAAACTCCAGCGAACCATTAGTTCATTTTGCTCAAATAGAAATTGAGGCCTGCCTCTAATTCTGGTCCTCCTTCCAATAAAGGCCTGGAGCTTGATGAGCTTGAGTCAAATACAGGCCAGGGCCTGTATTAGAGGATTTACGGTAAACACATTTTCAGACTTAATGGAGGCACATATATTTACTATTAAATGTTAAATGACTCATTATTCTGCCTGTTGAAATGAGTTCCAGAGGTCTTTTTGTTTGTTTTGAGTGAAACTCTCCATCTGACTCTTTATTCCTGACTCTTTACTGGTGAATCCCAGTCAGTCTAACTGGTTCCTCTCAGACTGACTGAAGAGGAAGATGGACGTTTCTGTGGAGGAAGAGGAGAACAGAGCTGAACCTCCAGGACCCAGCTGTATGTCTGTGAAGAGTGACTGGTCCAAGGAGAAACCTCCAGACCTCAGTGAATCTGGACCTTCAGACACAAAGTAAGAAAAGTGTTTCTAACTGATTCATTTGACTCGTCAGACAGAAAAACAGGATTTCTGCTGATTTCTGGTAGAACTGATGAATTAGTGGAGTTCTAAAGTGTTAAAAACAAAGTTGACCAGGTGGAAATGCAGCTCTTATCAGAGCATCAGAAACAGTTTTTACTCTGACTTTCTGTCAGTTTGTTCAGTTGTGATTAAATGAGAGATTTTATTGTTTATGATAAATGATAAATGACCTGCACTTGTATAGAGCCTCTCAGAGTAAGGACTCCAAAGCGCTTTACACTACAGTGTATCATTCGTCTACAGGTGGTTCAGAATGCCTGTGCTCGGCTTCTGACCAAGTCCTCCAAACACACCCACATCACCCCGCTTCTCCTCCAGCTTCACTGGCTGCCAGTCAACTTCAGGGTTCATTTCAAGATCCTGGTTCTGGTCTATAGGGCCTTACATGGACAAGCACCATCTTACATTGGTGATCTTCTTAGTCCCTACACCCCCAGCAGGTCCCTGAGGTCCAGTGATCAAAGCCTACTGGTTGTGCAGCACCAGGTTAAAGACCAAAGGTGACAGATCATTTGCTGCTGTGGCCCCCAGACTCTGGAACTCTCTCCCCCTGAGCCTGAGATCAGTGGACTCAGTGGTCTCCTTCAAAAAGCAGCTGAAGACTCACTTGTTCAAGCTGGCTTTTGTATGACCTTCTTCACCACTCTCTCTTTATTCTGCTCTCCCCACCTATTCCACCTTCCTCAGGATCCACTGGTTTCCCTCTTTCCTGTTCACTCTCTCTCTTTCTTAACATTTTTTCTTTTAAATCGCAATAGCTTATTCTTGCTCATTTTAAATATATTTTTAAACATTTTCGAAATGCTTTTTTATATTTTTACAATTTTTATACTTTTTGTTTTTGTGAAGCACCTCGTGATTTTTATCTTGAGAGGCGCTATAGAAATGATATCTTCTTCTTCTTCATTCATCCATTCACACACACATTCACACACTGGTGGGGATGAGAGGTGAGGGTGCCGAGCACAGGCGCCACCGGACCCTCCGACCACCACCAGAAGGCAAGGTGGGTTAAGTGTCTTGCCCAAGGACACAACAGCAGAATTCTCTGTCCGGAGCCGGGATCGAACCTGCAACCTTCCGATTACTGGACAACCCGCTCAACCTGTTGAGCTACTGCTGCCTAGTCTGAAGACGTTTCTCCAGAATCACAGCAGGATGAAAGTTTGTCTAAAAGTTTGAACACATTTAACATTTCAAGTCTGAAGTCCTAAATCTGGAGCTCTGTACAGGCTGTTTGGGGGGGTTATGACACGTCTCACCTTTATGTTAATATTGTTTTATTTGATGCGCTCCACTTTGAACTGCACCAATCCAGCGACTGCTGCATTGTAATAACTAGTATTAAAGGTGAATACACCAATATTTGCACAAGAATAATTTCTGTTTTAAACTCTCAGTGACACACTTTGCAGGGTGGATTTGGCATTTAATTTTTCTTGGCGTCTGGAAAAACATCTTCTTTTTCCCCCTTTATTTGACTCTCTGCCCCCTTTATTTTGGTCCAAGATCATTACTGGGCTAGCCTTATTAAAAACGTTCTACACCCCTGCTTAGTAGACTTAATGAAGTATTTTTAAGCCAGTATAAAAATGACAGAAACTCAATTTTACATATTTGGCATTATTGACCAATATTTTTTATTTGATTTATTTGTTAAGAACATCAACATGCATTACAGTGAACATTATAATAAGCTGGGCGGACACGGTGCGACTTTTTCACTCGTAACACAGCTTCAGCTTAAACTGTACGACTTCAGCGCAGGGCAGATCTCACGAGTCATGTGCTTACTGTACGTCTGGTAGCAACACGTCGGACCTAAAATATGCTAAAAATAGCGGTTTTTACTCAACACGTCAGACTTTTTTGTCTTGTTTTGCCTGTTGTCCTTCGGGAGTGCTGCAGGAGGACACACAGGAATTTATGGGGGTTGGATAAGGAAACGAAATAAAGAAAGTAAATCTGTGTTTTGTGATCAGTTTAATTTGACATAAACACGACAAACACGCTTTCTTGACAATCATTGTGAGTAGAAAAAACGTGTAGAAATAAAAACGAACAGCGTGTGTTATTAGGGAAATAGCGGGTGAGCGGAGTTGATGCAGGATTGCGAATGCGCCGTGAGCGGTTCTGATACTTTTTGGGTCGCAGCTGCTCACAGCGCCACTTCAACCCTCATGAGGAATGAGATAAATATCAAACACTCCAGAAGTCCGTGCGAGCTCACGATTGCTGATCGGTAGCTGGTCACATGGTGTTAATCGCCTCTCGTAACCCCCTGTACACTGCACGACGCTCAACGCTAAACTCGCCCCGATCTTGTGGATTCTCGCACGAGTGGAAAATCTGCTCAAAAAAGTGAAAAAGTCACACAGTGTCCGCCCGGCTTTACTGTCTGTGTGTGTGCGTTGATGCCTGGGCCGAGCTGACTGAGCTCCCGGCTGCAGTTTTGTGTGTAGGGAAGGGCGGACGCTCTATCTGACTGGCCAATCACAGAGCGTGAAGACAGTCAGTTACCCAATGAGGATTTCATTCAGCACGATTACAGATATTTACGAGTTTTACACTCGTTTCTTGCTCGTATTCGTCAAAAATGCTTTATCCGTACGCTCATAGCTGTAACCACCCTGCCGTGCCTCCTCCTCCTTGCTACCTGCCGGCTGTGATCACAAGCAACAACACAGTAGTTCCCGCTGCTTCTTCGGGAAACGGTGCAAAAAAAAAACATCAATAAAACTTGGGATGTTGTAGGCGTGGCGGTGGGATTTCAGCCGTGGCGGGCCGCCACAGCTACGCCTATGTAAGGGAAACCCTGTGAAAAAATGTCTTCACAGAGGGAGGAAGAGGAGTGCTGTTGGTGAGGAGGACCAGCTGTACTGCTGTTCTTTGTGTCAGGACGTCCTGAAGGATCCAGTCTCTACCAGCTGTGGACACTGGTTCTGCAGACAGTGCACCACCTCATACTGGGACCAGTCTGCTCCATCAGGACTCTCCTCCTGTCCCCAGTGTGGGAAAAGATCCAGAACCAGAAGTGGACTGCAGACAGCCAATCAGAGCAGCTCAGGACCAGGTGAGACGTTTCTGGTTACCTGTTGGTTTAAAACACGGTGTTTGGTTCAGAATGAAGATCTCAGGGGCCTCATTTATCAAGCTTGCTTACGCACAAAACGGGGTCGGAAAACTGCGTAAGCAACTTTCCACGCAAACTTTGGGATTTATGAAAGAAAACTTAGCGGAAAAATGTGCGCAACTTTAAGTTGACTAAGGACCTGGCTTACACACATTTTGGACATGGAGAGCACCTGCAGTGCTGCTGCTGAGAAGGATACAATTATGAAATCCTGCAGCATTATCACTTGTACTGCTTCATACACACACAGAACAAACCCCCCCCCCCCCCCCCCCCCCCACACACACACACACACAGCCTGAAGAGCAGAATACAGAATGCTGAATATCAGCAGGGGGGCAGAATTAGACAGAATGTCATGCATCTGTGACAGACTGACAGTGTGAGCGTCCTGTCACCGTGACCCGATTGATCATGCGCCCTGGCTACTTTGCCAGATGAGATCCCTGTTTGGCTGACTGGTTAGCTCCTTTCACCCGGGAGTCTGGGGATCGAATCTCGATCGGACCATTTTTTTTTATATCCACCACAGATCTCTCTAAAGAACTCACAACATTGACGGCTTCAGCAACGCTGTGCCACTCCGTGGATTTTCTCTTATTTGTTTTTCAAAAGTACTTCCTTTCATTTCTCCACCTCACCCACAGGTACCTCAATTTCTGCTTGTGAAATAGCGCTTCCTTGATCTGCCTTGATCTGCAGTCGCCATGTCATTGGCGGAGCGCTGCAACAGCCGGCTTATGTAAATGCATGAGATCCACAAGGCACTTTGCATTGACTATTTATGGCAGTAAGCGGGCGTGGTGAGGGCGGGATGTGACTAAAGTGCAGCTGAGAAACTTTCTCATTAGTCTCTGATTTATGAAGCGGAGATTGCGTGCAGCTGTGTGTACTCCATGTTTGATAGATCACAAACCTACTTGGCGCAGGTACATTATTTTTGCGGAGCTTAAATACGGTTTTAGTAAGGATTCTACACAATGTTTGATAAATGAGACCCCTGATCTTTATGAAGATGATTCAGATTGAACTACCAATAAAATGTTGGAGGTTCTGCTGCAGCATTCAGATCTGCTCTGTGTCACATTTCTCAGCAGATGTTGGTCTGCAGGAGGTTCTAGAAGATCATCGGCTCAGTCTGAGGAGCAGATGTGAACGTGTGACTGAAGGAAGTGATGAACCAGGAAGTAGAACCCCCCTGAACAAGATCTACACTGAGCTCTACATCACAGAGGGACAGAGTGAAGAGGTTCTTACCCAACATGAGGTGGAGCAACTGGAGACCGCTTCCAAGACCAAGAGGCTCCATGGTGCTCCAATCAGGTGCCAGGACATCTTTAAAGCCTTACCTGATGAAGACGAAGACCAACATAAAGATAAAGTTAAAGCCATCAGAGTGGTTCTGACCAACGGCGTCGCTGGAGCTGGAAAAACCTTCTCAGTGCTGAAGTTCACTCTGGACTGGGCTGAGGGCTTGGAGAACCAAGATGTCCATGTGGTGCTTCTGCTTTCCTTCAGGGAGCTGAACTTGATCAGAGATGAGCAGCACAGTCTTCTCACGCTGCTCCGTGTTTTCTATCCAACATTCCAGAAGATCCCAGCAGAGAAGCTGGCTGTCTGGAAACTTCTCTTCATCTTTGATGGTCTGGATGAAAGCAGACTTTCACTGGACTTCAGCAGCAGTCAGCTGCTTTCTGAGGTCACACAGAGGTCATCAGTCCAGGTGCTGCTGACAAGCCTCATCAAGGGGAACCTGCTTCCCTCGGCTCTGGTCTGGATCACTTCCAGACCTGCAGCAGCCAATCAGATCCCTCCTTCATGTGTCCACAGGGTAACAGAAGTACGAGGCTTCACTGACGCCCAGAAGGAGGACTACTTCAGGAGGAGGTTCAGTGATGAAGAGCTGTCCAGCAGAATCATCTCCCACATCAAGACCTCCAGGAGCCTCCACATCATGTGTGGAATCCCAGTCTTCTGCTGGATCACTGCTACAGTTCTGGAGAACATGTTGTCTACAGAGCAGAGAGGAGAGCTGCCCAAGACCATGACTGACATGTACTCACACTTCCTGCTGGTTCAGACCAAGAGGAAGAAGAACAAGTACCATGAAGGACCTGAGACCAGTCCACAGGAGCTGATGGAGGCTGACAGGGAGCTTCTTCTGAAGCTGGGGAGGCTGGCGTTTGAACATCTGGAGGAAGGAAACATCATGTTCTACCAAGAAGACCTGGAGCAGTGTGGTCTTGATGTCTCAGAGGCTTCGGTGTACTCAGGCGTTTGTACAGAGATCTTCAGAAGAGAGTGTTTGATGTTCCAGAAACCAGTCTACTGCTTTGTTCATCTGAGCGTTCAGGAGTTTCTGGCTGCAGTCTACATGTTCCACTGTTTCACCAGCAGGAACATGGAGGTGATGGAGAACTTCCTGGGAAGAGACTCCGAAGTCTCACCTGAGGAGGACTCCGAAGACTCACCTGAGGAGGACTCCGAAGACTCACCTGAGGAGGACTACAGAGACTCACCTTTGGAGGACATCTTAAAGAGAGTCATGGAGAAATCCCTCAGCAGTGAAAACGGCCACCTGGACCTGTTTGTCCGCTTCCTTCATGGCCTCTCTGTGGAGTCCAACCAGAGACTCTTAGGAGGTCTGCTGGGTCAGACACAGATCAGTCCAGGAACCATCCAGAGAACCATCAACAACCTGAAGGAGATGAACAGTGATGAAGTCTCTCCAGACAGAAGCATCAACATCTTCCACTGTCTGATGGAGATGAAGGACCTCTCAGTTTATCAGGAGGTCCAAAACTTCCTGAAGTCAGAGAACAGATCAGAGGAACTCTCAGAGATCCAGTGTTCAGCTCTGGCCTACATGCTGCTGATGTCAGAGGAGGTTCTGGATGAGTTGGACCTGCAGAAGTACAGAACATCACCATGGGGACGACTGAGACTGATTCCAGCTGTGAGGAACTGCAGAAAGTTCAGGTGAGTCCAGATGTGTTGATGAGCATCATCAGTCAATAGTAGTTATTAGAGCTGTGCAGTTTAAACAGAAAAATCACTTTAGTGAATGAAAAAGACGTCAAAGTGAATCAGAAGGTTTAGAGTCTGATTGTGGACAGATCAACAATCTCTGCTGCCTCCTTCTGCATCAGAGCTTTGTTGAGGGTGGACTTGGTTTATTTGGTTCCTTTTTCAAGAACAAACAACAAATCCATCACTGCTTTCTGGTGAAGTGTGTCCACACACACCTCACTGTTCCACATCAGAGCTCTGAATCCCAGTCCTGCTAAATCTCTGATGTTGTGAACCTTGAAAGCTGGACATCAGCAGCATGTTCCTGCGTGTGCACCTGAACAGTTGGAGCTGACAGGAACTGGAAGCAAAGAGATCATCTTTCCAACTGGACCTGTTCACTGAGCTGAACTCAGTCTAAAGGTTCTGAGCTCAGATGGAAACTAGAAAAGAGTCCAAATGTTTTCCTACAGCAGACGTGTTGATCCTGACTCTGGATCAGATCCTACTGACAGACTGTGGACATGATGGAAGCAGAAATGGAACGCCATGTTCCCTCCTTCATCTGCAGATTAACGCTAAACTAAGATTCTCATTAAAAGTCTGCAGGTGTGAAAGAGACTGAACAGATTCACGGGCTCATGTCAGACAGTCAGATGGACCAGATGAAGCACAGATGCGAAGAGCAGATGTTCATGAGATGATGACATCACTGTTTAGTCATCATCTGATATCAGGATGTTTATCAGACAGATTCTCTGATTTTATTACAACTGACTTGAACTTTTCTCTCATCACAGAGCTGGTGTTCCTTCTGGACTCCCAGAGACTCACCTTGAAGTTGTGTCCTCAGCTCTGAAGTCCAACCCGTCCCATCTGACAGAACTGGACCTGAGTAGGAACACCTTGTCTGATTCTGGAGTGAAGGTTCTGAGTTCTGGACTGGAGAGTCCAAACTGTAGACTGGAGGTTCTGAGGTCAGTTCACTGCAGCTGTTGGAGGTTTTCTGTGTTTAACCTTAAATAGTTTCTGAACACGTGGGGGGGTCAAATATTGAGATCATGTGACCTGATGCCAGCATTCAACAATGGCCGTGTTCGAGCTGAGCAGCGCCTCGCCTGGAAACGAGACGAGAGCAGACGGACGCAGCAGGGGGAGTGGCTGAAAGCCGGCGTTTAAGTCGGACAGATTTCCCTACATGTGTCGCTCGCAGGTGCCGATGGCTGAAGATATCACGTTAGCGTTCACACTTGTTTAATTTTACATTTTAATTCTGGTGCTTGTTAGCAACTGACACACATGCTTGTGGATATCATATATTGTAGACATGTGCATGTGAAGATATGACTGTAATAATAAGTAAAGGTTAGCAGCTGTAGGGTTTTAATAGGAAACGTGACAAAAGAACACAAATCACATTTCTCTTTATGGCCTATATAGTTGTCATCATCAACGTAACATGATTTACAGAATACATGTGACCAACTAACATTTTGCGTTCTATCACTGGATGTTTTGCTCAAAATGGGAACCAATCAGAACTTAGATCAGGTGAGAGCCAGGCGTTTCCCGTCATGCCCTAGGTTTTACAGCCAGTGGAGAGCAACTGCAGCGCCTTGCTCCAAAATCTGCGGCCGCCTTGATCTCACGAGGTTATCGTTGGCTACGTAGGCATGACGTCAGAGCAAGTCGGACACAAATCTAACCGGCATGCACTGCGCGCTGATCACCGGTGTAGCGTTGTGGTTTTAGGCTCTTTTATGAAAGAGGAACCATGCTACGTATTAATTCGGAATATTAATTTTTGATAAATCAATAACCAAATTTTATATTGTTAAGAAGACTCAAAGGTTGTTTTCATCGATAAACTGACGATAATATCTGTGTCTCTGTGTTTCAGTTCAATGAGGAAACCAGTTTGACAATTAAAAGTTTTAATTCTTCAAATTAAACTAATGATTTTGAAATTGACAAACAGGAAATAACAATCAACATTGGCAACTTTGTGGGACAATCTTTAACAGTTGATATGCTGTTCTTGCTCAAATAGACCTTCTGTTGGTGAAGGAAGATTGAGAGTAATATGATGTGGTTATGGATGCGTGTGTGTGCAAAGTGTAGTGAGAACTGAACATGAGGTGAGATGACAGGGTATCCGCGGGTCCTTAAAAAGTCTTAAAAAGTCTTAAATTAGCTTTTCCAAATTTAAGGCCTTAAAAATCCTTAAAAATGACAAATAATCCTTAAATACAGTTTCCAAAGGTCTTAAATTACCAAAGACCCAATAAACAAGATTCTTTTATTTCTGTGAAATTTTTGTGAATTTCTAGTTAGTGTTCAGCATTTTTTTGTGTACGATGTTGCCGTAAGCGGAACCGTACACATTCAGTTGGTTATGAAAGGGGGCTATTTTTAGATGAGCGCATTAGCTGGTTAAGCTAGTGGGAGCTTGCGCCATGGGGAAGTGCAAGTTTAATGATAACTGGATGGCTAATCCCACGTTCGCGATGTGGTTATTACCGGTTCCAGGCAATAGCTGGAAATTATAGCTTAAATTTAATTTTAAAAATAGCTTAAATTTGGTCAAAGTGGCCTTAAAAAAGGTCTTAAAAAGTCTTAAATATGGCTCCCTTAAACCTGCAGATACCCTGGATGAATGCGTGAGTGCATCTGATTTTGCTTCAGGAAGAAACAGGTGTCTGAGTGAAAAGTGATGGTTTGAATAAACTTAGGTTTAGTTGGAAAAGATGCATCAAAACGCTATCTGTCGTGTTCTGCCTCACCGAAAATCGGACCCCCTGTTGGACCCGGGACGTCACCTTAGGATGATGTTTCATCCAGGGCACCTTGGCTGGCAAAGAAGACAAAGATGCGCCGCGAACCGGTCCAGAGTTGCCCTCGGTACACGTTGATGGTAAAGCGTTTTGTCGATGCGCTTTCTTAAGTTAATTCACTCAGAAATCAAAGACTCTGTATGAGTCTGCGTTAGAAGTTGCAATTCAGCTATTCTGTCTGGCTGACAGGAACAGCGTGAGGGGGGGGGGGGGGGGGGGGGGGGGGGGGGGGGGGGAAACGAGCCAACCGGCTCCCCCCTTTGGTTTCTTCAGGTCCTCTCTCTTTCGTTGTCAAGCACGAACTGCAATCATAAGACTGAAACTTACCAAAAGCCTTTCTCTTCTCAAAGCAAACGTGTGCGTCAGCAAATGTGTTTTGGAGTTTACTGTGAGAATCTGTGTGTGGGTGTGTTTGAGTGTGTGTGTGAAGGTCAGTAACAAACATCCTCAAACATTATCTAATTAAGTATGGATTCATTAATCCATTATAATTACCCAAAGCATAAGAACCATTCATTTGATTAAACACATTTATAATGAGCAAAATGATAATGGTTATTTTAACATTAAAATCAAGAAAGGACGTTTTAAGACTTGTTATGACTACTTGTCCATGAGAACTCCTTCTTCTGGTACTGCAGGTGGCAGATGTTATGGTTTCCTCCCAGACTCGCTGGCGTTCAGGTCTTAATCTGTGGGTGAAAGTTCTCAGCGACCCAGCTTTGACCCAGCTGAGTCCAACACCACCTTTGTGACAGAAAACCCATATTTCCTCACGTTACACCGGTGAGCTAATCTGTGCAGAACTGGCTCATCTCGAACACGGCCAATATCCTCATTAGAGCTGTAGCGTAGTGTAGCGTAGCGTCGATGACGTCAGCGACTTGATTCTAAAAATTCTACAACGTAAGATCCGGTTGTCGGCGTACCACACCCACTTGTTTCGTTCCCAGGGGTTTGTAAATAAATGATTCTGTCTGCTTTTCCTCTCTTTTCCGGCTTCACTAACATCTCCGCCAAATACCGAAGACCCGGAACCAGATTTTATTTTTTATTTTTTCAAAACTTTATTGAAAAAGGTAATAAGTATACATACAAGTCGCATACAAAACTGAACACAGAACAATACGTGCCAGGGGGTGCGCTATAGAAATGTTACACACATCCAGATAAATTGTAGGTAGTGCAAATAGTTATAGTTTTTCAAGCTTTTTTATTTAGTGATCCACTAATTTTATGTAAGATTCCGCTACCAGATTCTCTTCCTGTTTCACCCGCGTTCATCTCCCGGCAACAGACAACAACCTCCGGGGTCAAAGGCGCTGCCTCGTCTGTATGGCAGATGTAGAAAATCACCTGAAATAGCCCCTTCATATCATAAGGAATCTTCTTTCAGACGTCAGGAGAGCTGTTTTTGTGGTAGCTGTCTCTCCTCTGCGCTGGTTAGTGTGCTGGGTCTTTTTGGTTTATTTCTACGTGGTAACTTGAGCTTAACGTTGGTAAAGCTACCAAAGCTTGTGTTTGCATAAATTGTAACATTTTGGTTTAGAGTTGATCTTTTGTGTGGTGTAGATCTCCCTTTTGGATGTATTTAGAGCGCTGTGGACTTTTGATTTAGTTAAAATATCAACTTGAGTTTGGTTTGACCACCCAGTTTAGAGTTTGTACCTTTTGAGATCCTTATTTTGATCTAGAACCCAGTAGTGTTTGCCCAGTGGGACATCTTTAACACTAGTTATTTGTACTTTTGTTTTAATTCCTCACAGCCCGTATTAGTTTTGTTTGTTAGTATTCCCAACCTGTGGGTGGAAAGATTGAAGTATCTTTGTAAATAAACCTGATCATCGTTTTAACTTTTAAATCTTCTGTTATTGTCCCTTCCTTTATGCACACGAGCCAAACTCTCCAGGAAGGGTCGTAACACCACTCGCCACATACACAAGAGTGACAAAAACAAGCAGCATGGAGAAAGAAACCGTCTCCAACCACCTCTCAGGCTCAGCAGCCGGCACTCTGAAGCTCCACACGTCACCAGAACACAACCCACCGCAACACAATAAAAGCAATGTTATACAAAATGGAAGGCCTGTAGTGTTTATTCTCTAACAGGACCAGTTTATTACATTTTTGGGGTATTTATTTGAGATTTTCTGGTTTTTATTACTCGTGCAACAGAAAACTAGTCGTTAGATTAAATCGTAAGAGTCATTAGAATATCTTTGGTGTGTTTTTACTGTGTTTGGTTTCTATTTTCATTTTTTCGTTCTTTTTAAAACATAGGAAAGGTTTTTTACCTTGCTGACGTACGTTTCGTTTGCCGACTGCAAAACATCCTCAGTGCTGACGCTGATGGTGGCGTCACTTCCTACTCCGTTTATCCGCGGAGCCGTTGTAGAGCGGGTATAGTATAATTTGAGTTCGGAAGGGAGCGGCAGCGGAGGGCGGGGCGGAGCGGAGATAGTGGAATTTTGGGGTAACAGGACCAGTTTATTACATTTTTGGGGTATTTATTTGAGATTTTCTGGTTTTATTAATCGTGCAACAGAAAACTAGTCGTTAGATTAATCGTCTAAATAGTCATTAGAATATCTTTGGTGTGTTTTTACTGTGTTTAGCTTCTAATTCCATTTTTGGTTCTTTTTAAAACACAGGAAAGGTTTTTCTTTACCTTGCTGACGTACGTTTCGTTTGCCGACTGCAAAACATCCTTAGAGCTGACGCTGATGGTGGCGTCACTTCCTACTCGTTTATCCGCGGGCAGCAGAGGACGTTGTCGCCCTCTGCTGCCCGCTCTCCCCTCTCCGATGATGCAGTCCCATGCGCGATCCAATGAGTAAACCCCATCATCTCTGATCATGGTCCCACATCCACGTCTCCTTATCTCGATAGCTTCTTTTATCCATCTTTTGTATTTCTGTTGTTCGCTGTTTATGATCCTTGTGTTGTCCCAGTCCATTACATGGTTTTCTCTTGTGCAGTGATCTGTTACGGCTGACTTCTTTATTGTACTTTCTGCTTCATGTTGTTCGTGTGTTGAGTTGGCGTCCGGTTTCTCCTATCTATGTTTTATTGCAGAGTTTGCATGGGATTTCGTAAATGACTCCACATTTAGGTCCAGCTGGTATCTTGTCTTTTGGGTGCACTAGTCTGTTTCTAACTGTTGCGTATGGTTTTGTTGGTGTGTTTATGTTGTGTTTTTCATTGTTGCTCTTATTTTATCCCATCAGTGGTGCCATGTCATCTGCTGTGAGGTTTGTTCTTTTGTGTAAAGTCTTGTCCTGTCTGATTCTGTTAACTACTATGTCTATGGTTTTTTGGGTTGGTGTTTTTGTGAACAAGGATGTGACGACTTTAGTTTATTTGGGATTAAAAGCAGGCTGTGGCTCATTTTCAGAGGATTTGTTTCATTTGGTTTAATGCAACCATAAAGGGCGTGTTGTCATTTCTGATTAATAACAGAAAAATAAAATTATTAATTTAGTTTAAATTATTTAGTTCATGTTTCTGTTTTAACCTGCATCCTGTTGGCTTCAGCTCACTGCTTTTATTCTTTATTCAGGTTGGAGTTCTGCAGCTTGTCAGAGAACAGCTGTTCTTCTCTGGTCTCAGCTCTGAAGTCCAACCCGTCCCATCTGACAGAACTGGACCTGAGCAATAACATCCTGTCTGATTCTGGAGTGAAGGAGCTCTGTGGTTTCCTGGAGAGTCCAGACTGTAGACTGAAGGTTCTGAGGTCAGTTCTCTGCAGCTGTTGGAAGTTTTTCTGTGTTTAACAAACTAAAATCATTCACTCATTCTTAAGAGAAATGAAATTAGCTCAGTTTGAAACTTTAATTTAAACCTAAAAACTTTTTGGTTGTTTCAAAAGTTTAAATGAGACCATTGTAGGGTTTGGTAAATTGAGTGCTTTAAGAGCTCAATATATATATATTACCTCTACTTATGACCTATAAGCTGTGATACTCTATCTAAATATAGAATATCAACCTGCTTGGTCCTTATTGTGTTTTAATCAGAAGATTCTAGGAATCTTTGTTTATTAAGGGATTGTACACACTTCGTTTTGATTCAGAAAAGAGTCAGGTTTATAAAAGTAAGAATTTATTTTACCAACAATTAAAACATGACAGGTTAACTAACATTTACTGTGATGGATGGAACTAGATGTGATGTATGAAACCTATGTGTGAATGTGATGTTATCAGAACTTCCGTATCTAGGAGAGCTGAGTTCTGGATGTAAAAGAATTTGGTTTGCGTTCAGCTATGAAGTTGATTATTAACAAAAGGCATCAGACGCTGTCTGTGTGTCTACTTCACCCGTTTTCGGAGAGTGGATCCGATGGTCAGAGGGGTCGGATGATCTCTGGCACCCAGGTCCAGTAGATTGACCACAGCACCAACTTCTCCAGTCCAGAGATGTCTCGAGTCACGACAGATGGATGGAACCGCGCGTCTGGGACTCTTAAGGAGCCGTAACAATATCAGCTTGTTCTGCAGGAACCGTTTGCTGTATCAGCTTAGCAGGTGCAAAAAGATTTTGACGCCGTGTCAAAAGCTTTGATGGTTAAAGAGGGTTTTGCTTCAGATGGCCGGTCTGAAGCTTTCTCTAGAACTGATGAATCACCAGAGTGATCCAGTTTTAATGTTCTCATGTTATGATTTGTGTAGCCAACCAGAGGTTGACAAGTTTGAGGAATATTACCAAGACAGCCTCAGAAGCACACCTTCTTTGATCCGGAGGCTCTGATCTGGGGTAAAGGCTGTTTATGTGTCATAGGTCTAACTTTACCTTACTTGTTCTTGTGTGAGTGCAAATGGTGATGACCTTGTCATATTAACATGCTGAACATATATCAATCTTTCAATGTAATCATAACATAACATTCATTTCAACCTTCAATCATTGAGCACAGATTAATGAAAGCATTTCATTATATTATAATTATTATAAGTAGCAATAAACAAATGTTTATTTAATGATTATTTAACTTATAAGTTTTAGAAGTTCATATTTAATTTAAGAAATCATTCTTTGATTTAGCAACTAATCCGAGCTGCGAGTGTTCACTTATTTGGAGGCGTGAAGAGTCCTGTAGGACGATAAGGGAAGCTTGAACCTTGAGGAGAGAACATTATTGTTGACAATTCGTTATCATGTGTTCAGAGCTGCAGAGAGGCTCTGAGCTCCAGCTGATGGGATGAAGGCAGGCTGATTTAAAGGGAACACATGCAGTCTCGTGTCTCCTTTTTGACCAGATGTTGAATGGTCAAACTGTACCTAAAACTGACCATTGCTGGACGTTACACCATTTTAGAACAAACATAGGTTTCAGTTTCTGCTTGTTAAATCCTTTAAATCATTTTTAACTTAGAAAAATGTTAAACATAATTTTATCGTTTTTGTACTTTTGACATGATAAACATAATTTATTCCTTTTAAATTATTTAGGTCATGTTTCTGTTTTAACCTGCATCCTGTTGGGTTCAGCTCACTGCTTTTATTCTTTATTCAGGTTGGAGAACTGCAGCTTGTCAGAGATCAGCTGTTCTTCTCTGGCCTCAGCTCTGAAGTCCAACCCGTCCCATCTGACAGAACTGGACCTGAGCAATAACATCCTGTCTGGTTCTGGAGTGAAGGAGCTCTGTGGTTTCCTGGAGAGTCCAGACTGTATACTGAAGGTTCTGAGGTCAGTTCTCTGCAGCTGTTGGAGGTTTTTCTGTGTTTAACAAACTAAAATCATTCACTCATTCTTCAGAATTAAATCATTTATAAATATTTTGTTCATGTCCAACCTTTAACTTTCCAATTTTTCCAAAAGTTAAAATAAACATTTTCGAACAAAAACAAGTTTCTGTTTGAACCTTTAAATAACTTTTACTGAATAAAATATTAAACATCAGTTTATCATGTTTTTGTGTTTCTGACTTAATAAAATAGATGAATTGTATTTAAATGGTTTAGTTCAGTAGGTCTCTGCTAGCAGCAACTATTGATGGGGTGTCTGGAGATAGAATATAGCTGAAATATGGAGGAAACACTATTGCAGGATGTTTAACTGTGTCAATAGTGAAAGGTTCAATATTCACTACAGTTGTGGCCTGATTGTCTGAGCTGATGAAGTCCGTCTTGCTACTGAGAAAAAGTCATTAAACAAAGCGTGTGGCCATGAGCAGTTCTCAGCAGTTCACTGAGCTTGCACTGTCACTGAGGTGGAAGCTGGAATCAACAGCAGACACCTCACATCTTGGTCTTTTCAGGGGTGTGGACGCTGCTCTGGGACTTTCTGGAAGATGAATTTCCGTCGTGGTCCCCATGTCACAAGACACACTGAGGCTGGGAGCTCTAAACTGGGTGGCTATGTAAAAAACAAAGAAGCAGCACATTTATAAATGTTTAAAAGAGCATAAAATCACATGTAACAATAATCTGTAAAACAAATTAAAACTAGAAGGTGATAATAAAATGTTTACATAGACGATTATTAAAAATAATTCACCTTTGCTACGGGTAAGGCTTCACGTCAGCCTGGACAAGTGCATTCTTGCAGACTACTAAATCAGTCTGACAGCCCATGTCTTGGGTAGATTTAGCCTGAGAAAAATAGAAGCACATTGTTATTGGAGTTTATAAAGTCATAGATAATATACAAAAGAAACTGTCCTATATAGGCGCTTTATAACATTCCTAGTGTGTGATCGTTATTATAACGTAAACGTCAGTCACATATGATGTGAAGAGAGCCAGAAATGTTACCTCCTGAGTAGAAATCCTTACAGAACCGGGTCACGCTGTGGTGTAAAGCTGGATTTCACGCTGTAATGCTGTCTGTCAACTAGTGCTGCGTTAGAGCCACTGTTGCAGAATTACCGACTGACACAAAAACCCGAATTTTCTCCGAGCCTGACAGTAATAGTCATGTGGACCGTTTCGTCGGCCAGGGCTTCGATATGTTCCGATTCGCTGTTGATTCTAACCATCCATCCCGTTCCACATTTTGTGAACTTAACAAATCAGCCCAAAGGCAGTGCAGACCATCGACATATAAATACTGGACAATTCATTTCCATAGGCTCCAATAACACGTTTTTGAGGCCAAATGGGAGGTGGCCACCACCGCCATTTTGACCGTGTCACAGGTTCCGTCAAGCCCAGACAATTCCACAAAAGGGAAGAGAGGTGGAGCTGAGGGTGGGGCTGTAAGGCTGGGATCAACTGACGACACCCGGTCGAACTAGCTACAAGCTAACCTGAAGCTAACCCAAAGCTAATGCGGAGGTGGGAGCTAAGCCAACGGATGTAGCAACCTAGCTACAACCGGAGTTAACTGTGCACAACACCAGAGCCTCTGAGTCAGAGATACGCCGGGCTGACTGCTGGGTAAAACCGGGTGGAACACAGAGGTCTCCCGAGACCTCCACAAGCCAGCAGCCCGCGCAGCAGACAGAAGCCGCGATCAGACAGAGATGCGCCGAGCTGCGGGGAGGCAAGAACGGGTGGAAAACATCGGTCTCCCGAGAGCTCCACAAGCCGATAGTCAGAACCCAGCTCCACCAACATGTTATATTTCAACCCATTTTCTAAAGTGCAGCATTATGTTAAATGCACTGGGTTTTACCCTATTACATTTAAATTTCATGGTTAAACAGTACATGTTAAAATCTAAGCTCAGCTCGGCAATGACCTAAAATACATAAATATAATTTTACTTACTGAAAAAAATGAAGTGGAGACTCCTTGGACGCTCTATTAGTGCAATTAATGCCACAGCAAGTCATTTTGTCCAACAATTGCACAAAAAATATCCAAAAAAGAATACACAAACACAGAGACTCAAAGTCCTGGAACAGTTTCCAAGCCAGACCGAGGCTCTACCGAGGCCTTTCCATGGAGTGGGTCTGATGCTCATTAATTATACAGAATTTTAGGCTTTTAATACACTTAAACAGAAGAGTGAGGAAAAAAATGCACCCCCCTCAGAGTTGTCATGAGTGTAAACTAGATCATTTAAACCATAAACATGTTTTGGTACCAGGCTGTAAACATGTTTACAAGTGCTGGCCAGTAAATTAGAATATCATCAAAAGGTTGAAAATATTTCAGTAATTCCATTCAAAACGTGAAACTTGTACATTATATTCATGCAATGCACACAGACCAATGTATTTCCGATGTTTATTACGTTTAATTTTGATATTTATAGGTGACAACCAATGAAAACATCAAATCTGGTATCTCAGAAAATTAGAATATTCTAAAGGCCAATGAAAAAAATGTTTGTTTCTCTAATGTTGGCCAACTGAAAAGAATGAACATGAAAGAATGTGCATGTATAGCACTCAATACTTAGTCGGGGCTCCTTTTGCCTCAATAACTGCGGTAATGCGGCGTGGCATGGACTCGATCAGTCTGTGGCACTGCTCAGGTGTTATGAGAGCCCAGGTTGCTCTGATAGTCGTCTTCAGCTCCTCTGCATTGTTGGGTCTAGCGTATTGCATCCTCCGCTTCACAATACCCCATAGATTTTCTATGGGGTTAAGGTCAGGCGAGTTTGCTGGCCAATCAAGGACAGGGATACCATGGTCCTTGAACCAGGTGCTGGTGGTTTTGGCACTGTGCAGGTGCCAAGTCCTGTTGAAAGGTGAAGTCTGCATCCCCATAAAGTTGGTCAGCAGCAGGAAGCATGAAGTGCTCTAAAACTTCCTGGTAGACGGCTGCATTGACCCTGGACCTCAGGAAACAGAGTGGGCCAACACCGGCAGATGACATGGCACCCCACACCATCACTGACGGTGGAAACTTTACACTGGACCTCATGCAACGTGGATTCTGTGCTTCTCCGCTCTTCCTCCAGACTCTGGGTCCTTGATTTCCAAAGGAAATGCAGAACTTGCTTTCATCAGAAAACATAACTTTGGACCACTCAGCATCAGTCCAGTCCTTTTTGTCCTTGGCCCAGGCGAGACGCTTCTTGCGCTGTTTCTTGTTCAAGAGTGGCTTGACACACGGAATGCGACACCTGAATCCCATGTCTTTCATGAGTCTCCTCGTGGTGGTTCTTGAAGCGCTGACTCCAGCTGCAGTCCACTCTTTGTGGATCTCCCCCACATTTTTGAATGGGTTTGTCGTCACAATTCTCTGCAGGGTGCGGTTATCCCTAGAGCTTGTACACTTTTTTCTACCACATTTTTTCCGTCCCTTCGCCTGTCTGTTAATGTGCTTGGACACAGAGCTCTGCGAACAGCCAGCTTCTTTAGCAATCACCTTTTGTGTCTTGCCCTCCTTGTGGAAGGTGTCAATGATTGTCTTTTGGACAGCTGTTAAGTCAGAAGTCTTCCCCATGATTGTGGTGCCTTCAAAACAAGACTGAGGGACCTTTTAAAGGCCTTTGCAGGTGTTTTGAGTAAATCAGCTGATTAGAGTGGCAGCAGGTGTCTTCTATATTCAGCCTTTTCAGAATATTCTAATTTTTTGAGATACCAAATTTGGAGTTTTCATTAGTTGTCACTTATGAATATCAAATTTAAATGTAATGAACATTGGAAATACATTGGTCTGTGTGCATTGCATGAATATAATGTACAAGTTTCACGTTTTGAATGGAATTACTGAAATATTTTCAACCTTTTGATGATATTCTAATTTACTGGCCAGCACTTGTATTTCTGCTGTGAAATTGGTAATTTTAACATGGGAGTCATTGAGGATTTGCTCGCTTCTGACACCAGCCCCCAGCGGATGAGGGTAGAACTGCAATTTTTGGTACTTCCGGGTTGGCCTCGATTTTTGAGCCGCATTGTGGGGGCTTGGTGCAGACTGATATTAGCTAAATGAAGTGAACCACGTCCCTCAAACTTTGCATTTAGGTAGGGAATTGTCTTTAGAAGATGTTAAAATTTTTATTTAGCTTACTCACCTCAAACTGGAGCCCACCAAGATGGGGGAGCAGAGTCGGTAGGCTGCATCTAAATTGTGGAAGAGCCACGGTGGGCACGGCCTCCCTCTTCAAACGGAGACATGCAGAACAACCCAGTTCAAATTCCATCATGTTGGCGAAGGAATCGCGGGTAAAATGCTGGTTGCAAACTACAGCACCGAGCGGGAGCTGACTGTTTTCCAGTACACCGATTGCATGCAATCACTGGCACCTAATTTCTAAGTCCAGTGGAAAGGAGTGCAACCCCACAGAGTCACCGAACCCACTACACTACACCTTCTCACCATACTAACACGATATGGAACACTAAACCTGAACTACTTTCCTAATAACGCTAACAGCTAAACACTAACTAAACTACAATATCCAACAGCCAAGCTAACACTAAATAAGTATGTATAACACTAAAAGCTATGCTAAAGATTCGGCTATGCTAACGCTATATGCTAATGCTGAACTACCGCTAACCGTCCTACACTCGCTTGCAAATCCAACTCCCAACTCGCCACAAGGCGTGGCCGAGACTCTCGATGCTTTATAACTTTGACACAGAGCTGCTACGTAGTACTCTACTGGTTTACGTAGTATCTTACACTTTAGCCATTGGCTAAAGTGTATTCAAAATGACTCAAACTCTATCTTTTAAGCTGAAGGTGGCGCTATACTGATGTATTTAGGCAGAATTTTAAATTTTTAAAGAAAAAGCACCAAAATGCTAAAATAATGAATACACACATTTAAAACACTATTACACTCATTTATACAGTTCATCAGCAAAAAAAAGTTAATTTAGACGTTACTTGCTCTTTAAACACTGGAACAACTGCCGTTATGCTTTGTGATGGGAATGTGTTTGATTTGTTTTGCACATTTTATACTTTTATTGTCTTTGTTTATTTTATTTATTATTTTATCTTCGGTGTCTCGTGATATGGACACATTTTTATCTGGAATAAAGTTTGATTCATCATCTTCTTTTTTCTTATTTAATACAGTGTGGTAATTTGATGTTTTTTTTACCTTTGGCTGGCACGTTTCGGCCGGAACATCCGCCTTTGTCGGAGCCGCCAGCTGTTCGTGGCGTCACTTCCGTTTATGTGCGGGCAGCAGAGGACGATGTTGCCCTCTGCTGCCCGCACATAATTATGAACCAAAACACAGAACAAACATTCAGAAGAGTTTTAAAGTTTCATTTAGTTCATGTTTCTGTTTTAACCTGCATCCTGTTGGCTTCAGCTCACTGCTTTTATTCTTTATTCAGGTTGGGGGGCTGCAGCTTGTCAGAGATCAGCTGTTCTTCTCTGGTCTCAGCTCTGAAGTCCAACCCGTCCCATCTGACAGAACTGGACTTTACTGGGAACAGCCTGTCTGATTCTGGAGTTAAGGAGCTCTGTGGTTTCCTGGAGAGTCCAGACTGCATAATGAAGGTTCTGAGGTCAGTTCTCTGCAGCTGTTGGAGGTTTTTCTGTGTTTAACAAACTAAAATCATTCACTCATTCTTAAGAGAAACGAAATTAGCTCAGTTTGAAACTTTAATTTAAACCTAAAAACTTTTTGGTTGTTTCAAAAGTTTAAATGAGAGCATTGTAGGGTTTGGTAAATTATGTGCTTTAAGAGCTCAATATATATATATATTACCTCTACTTGTGACCAATAAGCTGTGATACTCTATCTAAATATAGAATATCAACCTGCTTGGTCCTTATTGTGTTTTAATCAGAAGATTCTAGGATTCTTTGTTTATTAAGGGATTGTACACACTTCGTTTTGATTCAGAAAAGAGTCAGGTTTATAAAAGTAAGAATTTATTTTACCAACAATTAAAACATGACAAGTTAACTAACATTTACTGTGATGGATGGAACTAGATGTGATGTATGAAACCTATGTGTGAATGTGATGTTATCAGAACTTCCGTATCTAGGAGAGCTGAGTTCTAGATGTAAAAGAATTTGGTTTGCGTTAAGCTATGAAGTTGATTATTATCAAAAGGCATCAGACGCTGTCTGTGTGTCTACTTCACCCGTTTCGGAGAGCCTCTTGGTGGATCCGAAGGTTAGAGGGGTCGGATGACCTCTGGCACCCAGGTCCAGTAGATTGACCACAGCACCAACTTCTCCAGTCCAGAGATGTCTCGAGTCACGACAGATGGATGGAACCGCGCGTCTGGGACTCTTAAGGAGCCGTAACAATATCAGCTTGTTCTGCAGGAACCGTTTGCTGTATCAGCTTAGCAGGTGCAAAAAGATTTTGACGACGTGTCAAAAGCTTTGATGGTTAAAGAGGGTTTTGCTTCAGATGGCCGGTCTGAAGCTTTCTCTAGAACTGATGAATCACCAGAGTGATCCAGTTTTAATGTTCTCATGTTATGATTTGTGTAGCCAACCAGAGGTTGACAAGTTTGAGGAATATTACCAAGACAACCTCAGAAGCACGCCTTCTTTGATCCGCAGGCTCTGATCTGGGGTAAAGGCTATTCATGTGTCATAGGTTTATATATATTTTTTTCGTTTACTTCATTCAAAATAAAAACAAATAAAACATAAACAATAAGAAATACATAACAAAAAATCTAATTTGAACGAAAAGGAGCAGAATGAAGAAAAACATCTTATAATTTCTGCCCCCTTTTCCAGTAGAAATACTTAATTTATATATAATTACCATTTGTCAGACACACATACAGATTCATTTTAAACTTTTTCCTGTTCTAAATTCCAGTGCGATCATGATCATTGATTTAATTAACATTTTCATAATTATTTCAATTTGCTACATTTTTTGAATATATTAAATGACAGCTTTTTAATTTTCCTTTTAAGGTTATTCCATAATTTAACACCATTTACAGATATATTCCACTCCTTCATTTTAGTTCTAAATCTGGGTTTTGTAAACACATCAGTTTCTTTCAGCATGTAATTACTAGTTCTCTTTTCAAATATCCCCTGAACGTTTGTTGACAGAGTACCTAAACTGGCTTTATACATGGTTTGTATGATTTTCCAGTCTTTTAAATCATGACATTTCAGTAATTTATATTTAATAAACAACGGGTTCGATGGATCTCTACAGCCACTATAATTGATGATTCTCCGTGCTCTTTTCTGTAAAATAAATACGGGTTGTGTATAGTTTTTGTATGTTGCTCCCCAGATTTCTACACAATAAGTCAAGTATGGAACAATCAGTGAATTGTACAATGCCAACAAACCAGGAATAGTCAGTAAAAAGTTGACTCTATGTAATACTCTTAAGGATTTGGCAATTTTACCTTTTATGTAACTAATATGGGATTTCCATGACAAGTCTTCATCAATAAGAACTCCAAGAAATGTAGTTTCTTTTACTCTTTGAATTGCAATCCCATCTATTTCCAATGACACATCACTGTTCTTTCTATCATTAAACAGTAAAAGATTTGTTTTATTAAGATTCAGTGTCAATCTATTTATATGAAACCAGTTTTTAATTTTAATCAGTTCATCATTTATCACTTTAGCCACCTCCTCAATATTTGATCCTGAGTAAAACAGTGTTGTATCATCTGCAAATAGAATGGTACCGAGTGTCTTAGATACATTTACCAAGTCGTTAATGAACAAAATGAACAGTTTTGTTCCGAGGACCGACCCTTGTGGCACTCCACAATTAATTTCCCATAGTTTTGATTTATGGTCCTTCATCTGAACGAACTGTTTCCTTTTTTCTAAATAAGTTTTAAGCCATTGATGAGCCACACCTCTTATTCCATACTGACTTAATTTTCGAAGTAACCTTGAGTGATCAATGACGTCAAAAGCTTTTTTCAAATCAATGAAAACACTAATAAAGTCATTTTTATTGTCAATTGCTGTTGATATTTTATCCATTAATTCCATTATTGCCATTGCTGTGGAATGTTTAGTTCTAAACCCATATTGTTCATTGTTTAAAATATTAAATTTTCGATGAATCTATCCAACCTTGATATAAATACTTTTTCCAATATTTAGAAAACTGTGGAAGCAGTGACACCGGCCTGTAATTATTGAAACTATGTTTATCACCACTCTTGTACAAAGGAATGACTTTCGCTCTTTTCATTGCGTCAGGAAAAGTTCCAGTAGAAAGTGATAGATTACAAATTTAAGTGAATGTTCAGTGACAGATTCTATGAAGGTTTTAACAGTTATCATGTCCAGGTCCTGATAATCGGTTGATCGTTTGTTTCCACAGTTTTTTATAATGTTTCGTATTTCTTCTTTATCTACTTTGTCAAGGACAACACTATTGACAGTACTAATCATTGTGGTCAATTTATCTTCTATTACTGGTTTGTTCTCCATCAAACTCCTACCTACATTTACAAAAAAATCATTAAACTCATCAGTGATTTCTTTATCATCATAAATATATTTTTTGTCCTTGACAAAGTGATTTGGAATACTGGATTTTGTTTGCTCTCTCTTAGTCACACTGTTTATTATTCCCCAAGTAGCTTTTGTGTTATTTTTATTCTGATTCAATAGATTACCATAATAATCTTTTTTTTTTTTGCTTCCTAATTATTGTTACCATTTTTTTTTCCAAAAAGTATATTTTATTGAATTTTCAGTTTACTGTACACCCTTCACACAGTATTATGTTGTACACTGAAAGTACATTCTGTATAAAATCTTAACGGAACAGCAGAACAATTTAACAATTTTGGTTGTGCTTATGGCTATCCTATCCAACGTAAGTGCATATATAGTATTGAAGGCAATATTCACATAGACATATTTAACAAAACTTTGAGTAAGAAGTCCCCGAATTACACCTTGCTTTTGCTTCTCCCATTCCAGTCTAAATGCTGGTCAGAAGACCGATTATTTTCCTACTCTCCCACTTTATAGGTCCTCAGATTTTTATGTCCATCCTCTTAATATATCAGGGGTGGACCGTTAAACTGCCCGAGCGCCAATGGCACTAAATTTTCACGTCGGGCGGTAAATACTTGACGACTTACCGCCCGGGTGGCACCCAAGCCTTATTTGTAATTTACACACCGGCTTTCACCTACATCATGGCCCCGCCCTGTAGGAAGCCGCCGTTTTCGTTTCGCGCTCGTGAACCTGTGCGCCTCTAGCCACGTACTGCACTTGTACAATTCGTGCACGTACTGCACGATTCTAGTTCTAGTCAACTATAAGTTCACTATTAAAGACGAAGTGGAACCACGCTAGAAACACACAAGCACGCAGGAAGATGGCGCCACCACAGGGATGGGATTTCTTGATGAAATCTCCGGCAAAACGCTTTAAAACTGGTGAGGAGAAGCGAGACAGTTCGAAACGGTATGAAGCAGAGAAGCGTGTGCGTAGGTGGAATGATTCTTGGCGGTTTAAAGAAGACGGGAGGCGCAGGCCGTGTTTGAGTTGAGCAGCGCCTCGCCTTGAAAACAGGCGAGAGCAGACGGAAGCAGCAGGGGGAGTGGCTGAAAGCCGGCGTTTAACGCCGGGGACACACCGGCCGCGGAAGCGCCGCGACGCGCCGAGAAGTGAATCGCCCATGAAATTCGGGCACTGCTCGCCGCTCCTCAGTTCGGATCAGACGCGCCCCAGTCGAGGCGCGCCTCAGCTCAGCTGTAGTGTTTCTTTTAATTACTTGGTGTCTTCCATTTCCTCTCTGCCTTTTCTCAGCTCTTGTCCTCTACGTACGTACGTACGTACGTACGTGTGTGTGTGTGTGTGTGTGTGTGTGTGTGAGAGAGAGAGAGAGAGAGAGAGAGAGAGAGAGAGAGAGAGAGAGAGAGAGAGAGAGAGAGAGAGAGAGAGAGAGAGAGATATCTTGGAACCCGCTCCAATTCTGCAGCTGTATCCTAGCAGTTTCTTCCGAAATGGGTACGTAAATAACCATGTTTTTCGGGGGTCGTACAGCTCCTTGTGTTTCTCAACTTCCATAATTAATTTAAAGTCTTCCATCTTAACTGCTTGCCTCAGACTTTCTGACATTCACCAGGCGTTTCCCGTCATCCCCTAGGTTTTGCAGCCGGTGTAGAGCAACTGCAGCACCTTGCTCCAAAATCTGCGGCCGCCTTGATCTCACAAGGTTATCGTTGCCTACAGTTGTGGTCAGAAGTTTACATACACTTGTAAAAAATATAATATAATGGCTCTACTGAGTGTCCCGTTATTTCTAAAACTCTGATTTTTCTCTGATAGAGTGATTGGAACAGATACTTCTTTGTCACAAAAAACATTCATGAAGTTTGGTTCTTTAATGTCTTTATTATGGGTTAACAGAGAAAAGTGATCACATTTGCAAATATACATACAGCAGTGCTAATATTTGGTTACATGTCCCTTAGCCATTTTCACTTCAATTAGGCGCTTTTGGTAGCCATCCACAAGCTTCTGGCAAGCTTCTGGTTGAATCTTTGACCACTCATCTTGACAGAATTGGTGAAGTTCA